CATTTTCTTCTGAATTCAATGCTTTATGTATAGACATGCAAATAAACGTTTTACAGCTAGATATGAGTTTTGCAAAAAAATTTTAATTTCACGAAAACATTATCATCTGCTAGCTTAAAGTCTATTTCTCGTAAACTATAGAAGAAGAAAAAATAGAAAAGAGCACACAAACATAGAGCACAATATTTTGCATTACTCATGTCAAATATTTTACTTCCACTAGTAAATTTCATCCAGAAAATGCTTTTGACAAAGCGATAGATATTTGGAAAAAACATTCATTATCTGTTTGAAAACTGACTATTATTTGAAACTTGTAAATCTTCTAATAAGATAAAATATTTTTAAAAACAAAATCAGCAGCTTCTAGACTTTTCAGTCTTAAAGGAATTTAAAATATTCTCTTATCGATTATGCTCTTCACCAATATCAATCGTCTTGAATCAAATCGAAGTATAGCCTTGCATGCAGCCTCATACTTCGGTCATACTGATTTTGTTTGATTCTTTCTTCATCGATATGATATTATACAACATCATCAAAAACGAGAAGATTTCACTAAGTACGAAGTAGCAGCTAACGATGAGTGTTCGTAATTTGTTTCATCATTTGTCAAACTCACAAGACTTCTGTAGTAGGGCGATAGATAATGCTCAGCATCTTTGTACTAATATCATTAGTATAATGCTATTATATAAATCAATTTGAATCAAATAATTTTTTTTTAAATGTATGCATCGAAAGAAATTTAGGCAGTTAACAATAATATCAATTATGAAATGTCAAAAATAAAAGTTTTATTTCGCAGTCTGTTATATTTTTTTCAATATCAAACAGGCACATACATATTGATTATCATTGACAACTAGGTCCGGTCTTTCTTTTAACTTTTCTTCGTATACCATCCAAAAATCTTTTGATAATTCATCAATCTCTTCTTTCGAACGTCCATTCATTCCCAATAGTTGTCTAATTAAGGGTTCCATAGTACTTTGAAATGCTTTTGCGAATATTTTCACTAATTGATCAAATGTCAACTGATCATTGCGATACTGTTCAAGTGTAGGCACCTTCAATTGACTTAATTCAGCTTTAATCAATTTTAATGAGCATCGATCGAACAATTCATAATCGATACATTCAGATAATGAACGAAGATATAAAGGAATCGTCAATTTTAATAACTCTTGTTCATTGAAAAATGATTGAGCACATATATACAACTGATCAAAATAATTACTCATACTTTCTATTCCTTGATCGTGATAACTCGGAATACTAAGAACGAGAACTCCACCAGACACAAGTTCACGAGAACGATGTTCTATGAATGAATTAAAATCAACTTTTGCTTGATGTTTGTATGCTTGACGTTCATGCTCTTCGCCATATGTATGAAAACAATGATTCGCAATGTTAAAAGGTATTTTTGATAACCAATGCATTGAAGAAGATGTAAAGCCCATCGAAAGACTATTTGCTGGTAGACATTGTTCATAAAATGAATAACCATTAGCCACACCTTGATATGATTTATCTTCTGAAAGAAGTTGAAAAAGCTTTGTCCAATCATTTGTTGGAAGATCATTATGAACGACAAGTGGTGGTGTAACAAGTTTATTTGCTTGTTGAAGATATTTTATAAATATTTTCATGACTATCATTGAATTTCTTCCATGAGATGAACCAAAATCAGCAATAACCAAAGATGAAGATGCAATATTTAATTCATCAATACCCATTTGAATATAAGGTATCATTAAATTAATGATAGCAAGTTGAGGATCTGAATTTTCATTATAACTTTCAGCCATACCAACAGTTGTACCTGATTTTGTTGCCATTTTTCTTCAGAATAAAAATATAATAGATGAAAAAAGAAGCATTAGTAGTTATGAAGGATGTGAGTTTGAGTTTAGATATAAAAGACATCTCCAGACTTACACCCACTCTCACATCCTAGAACTTCAATTGACATAAAGACTGGCTTCCAGACTGCCGCTGTATCCAAGACTTTAACTTAGCAGACATGATGGCTGCATATTTTTATGATTCCGACAGTCTTGAAAACTCTGCAGCTTAAATAATCCTGAAGAATATCTGAGAATGAAAAAAGACTTGAAGACGTTGTCAATGGTTAAGCGCTAGGACTTCACACTCTTAGTCGAATTCTTCAGAATTTAGTAGCATGTATGACATCAATTTTGTTAGAAACTGGTGTTTTGCGCTGTCAAATATCTAATGTAAAAAAGGTTTTGGTAAGATCGGGAACGCATTTTCGAAACTCAAGTATCTGTTGATTGCTTTAAAGAATTTCCGATAGGTTTCCATAAGTATGTTTTTTCTGGAGTTTACTAATTGGATCTTTCAAGAATAAAGCATTGGTTTCGACTAGAAATCTCAGAATATTCTAATGATTCATAAGATCTGCTAAAACTATCTTGTGTGGAATGGCAGAACTCGCTCGAACGTACTACATAGCAGAATCTTGGATAAACAACATCTCGAAATAGCAAAATCTCAAACGAGCAAAATGTCTACAATGTGTAAATATCAACATTGAACGCAATTTCGCCTTCAATCTATCTTCAGCTCAAAGAAGAAACGCTCAAATTAGGAACACAAGAGAAAATGAAAGACGGTATATAGGGAATGACTATAAGGGTAACATAAGGAAGGGAGAGTTGCTTACTTGCTTGATCAACGAATGAAAGTAGTATACAATTGCTGGAAATAACAGTGTATTTATAGGTCTATCGAGAAAGAGAAAGAGAAAGAGAAAAAGAAAGAGAAAAAGAGAAAAAAAGAGAAAAAAAAGAGAATGAATATTTCGTTGTAAAAAACTGTTTGTACCTGACTCGGCTCAGCGTGACCTTATTCAAAATCTGACTTGATCTAAGTTGAACTAGAATGCATTAGCTATGTATCATTGCCTCATGTCGATAAGGAAAAAACCGTGAAGTAGAACAGAAGAGTATGCGATATATATTGTCTTGTTCTATAAGCTTTTAATGATCTCTGACAGAACTTTTACATGCAAAATTTTCAGACAGATTATTTGAATTGAGCACTGGTAGAAAAATATTCTTAAGCAGCTGGTGATTATATAGCAAGAGCTAAAATCTCTTTCTAATGTTCTACAACAGGAATCATGCATTTTGTCTATCTTACCACCTTCAAGACTCGGTGTTTTACCGAACAATACATGGTGTAATCATAGACTTAAAACTAAATTACTTTCACATGTTTTTCACATTATTGTTTGGTTTTGAACCATGATCAAAACTGATGGAATTTGTTCCCTGTTGGATGGTGTGCTATAGTTTCAAGTTTCTAAATCGCAACTGATATTTTTACACTTGTTCACAAATCGCCTACAGAGTCCAGTGTTATAAAATAAAATTCTTTTCAACATTCTAGAACCGAAGTAGTATTATATAGAACAATTGTTTTGCAGAGTCAAAGACATGTCGTTTGTTTGCGCTTCGTTGTGAAACCTTTTATTCTGTGTTATTGCTTCACATAAAAAAAACACGATGAAAATGGATTCTTTTTCATATTTTCTCGACAACGCACAACAAATATAATGCGTATGTAGTATGGCATAATGTAATTAACTAGTAACGTACACAAGAATTCTTTGCACCGTTATAGACATAGAAGCCATGTTTTTCGTTCTTCGGCATTTCTTCAATAAAAAAAAAATATCGTTTTATTCTGAATCATCGTGACACCAAGGACGATAAGGTATCGACAAATACACTGGATTCGTGTTTTTGATCTGTGAATTGATCACGTGTGAGATGAGATGCGAAGAATTTTTCGTCTCATGCGCGTCTGATATGTAGTTGTGTTTGACTCAGATCGGTTCAGGTTAATCATGCGAACATTCCGCAGACACAAACGACATTTTGAATGTTTTTTTTTTTATTATAAAATTCTGTCAGAGAACGTGGAAAGCTTTGATAGAATAAGGAGATATGTCTCGCAAAGTCTTTCGTTCTACTCTCTTGTTCTTTATTGGAATGAAGCAGCAATACATAGTTAATGCACTGTCTGTTCAATGGTGATATAGAGATCTTAGATTGTATACATGAGAGAAGAAAGAGAAATAAGGAAAAGTTCTATTATAAAAGCTTGGTGTACGAATTGTGCAATATCAACGAAATATAAAGGGTGAAAAAGGTCAAAGATATATTTCGTGTTTTCAACCATGAAATGAGATGGAGACAAAAATAGATTGAGAAATTAAATTTCTCAAAAGAAAAGAAAAAGTAATCAATTTATTTTCTGAAATACTCTTCTTGTTGAGTCAATGACCACTGTTGTGACACCAAAATCAATTCGAAATACAATGACTCGGTCTCTTCTATTCTCTACAACCTGCTTCTTTTCCCATGATATAATATAAACGTGCGTTATGGAAACGAATAAATTCTAGATGAGATCTTCGATGTCTTCAAATATCTTTTTCACGAAACTTATCTGACCTGTACACAGTATCTCATTGTTCAGTACTAAGTCTATATTATGCAAATGCATATGTTTGGAGCTGTCGATTAATGTTTGATGTATTCTTTCCTATCGTCACTGGCAGCAGATGTAACCAGGATTTTTAGACCAATGAGCGAAATGGGCAAGGTTCTTATTGATAGACCAAAACTTTTTTGGTCCAACAAAGTACTAATAACGTAAAAAAAACATGCATAAGTTAATGTGCCGAATTCTTCCAATATGTATCTGTGCAGCACACATGGGCATTTTCCCCATGAAGTAGATCATTTCACATATTGGTTTCCTCCTTTATGGTCTCCACATAGACGTTATTGGATTTTTTCTTTCTCTTATATGCGTCACTCTATATATATATCTACACATATAAATATTCGTGTGTGTTCTCTTGATCTGTGCTCCTGTTTCTCTTCTCTAATGATCTATCAATTATAACTATAGCTCATTAATGTTATAGATATGTATTGCACTATCTTCTTTCCTTTCTTAATCTTGTGTAGTTTCTGAGGTCTGCAACCACTGAAGAATATTTTAATATATCAGTGAATTTTTACGTTGCTGAACTTAAGAATGAATGTTAATTATTTTTTTGAACGATTTTGTAAACATATTTTAGCTCAAAAACATTTATGGAAGGAATTTCAAACAAAGGAAAACTTGAAAAATAATATGAAATTTATGTTCTATAAACTTTATTATTTTTCGTAAGATTTTTTAATATGCATAGTTTATATATCATTAGTTTGCGTATAATTTCGTAAACAGAGTTTTGAGCTTCGTAAAAGATTCCAACACTAGGTGTCTTTTTTTGTATTAACTAACAATTGAAGACCATGTAACTGCAAATTAAGGAGATTGTTCATAGTCGAATCAAATGAATGCTCTCGCTCACAGGCCAACTAGTTTAAAACGTGAGCTGTCAATAGCGTCACAGACCGAGATGTTTAAATTTCAAGATATTTACAGTTTGTCATGTGCCCACACTACGAAATTTCATGACCCTTTAGTTTTTTCTTCGTCATAGTTGGATGAAAAACGACTATTTACATAAGGAGAAACAATATCACATATATTCAAAAGCAATTTGACAGCAATTATAATTTTTTGTTTATTACCCTTGTAGTTACAAAATTCTGTCTTAGACTTTGTTGAATTTGCTTTTTAATATGCGTGATATTGTTTTTTCGTATGTAAATGGTCGTGCTCCATCCAACCATTACGATAAAATACTTTTGAAAATAAAGTATGAGTCGATAAACAAAAAAAGTAAAACATTTTGTGTATGTGAACATGATAACCCTTGGTTTGCAGAAAGTTACTCTTTCTGATTAGTTTCGAATTTTGAAGAAAAAATTTTAATTTTTTCCTGATGTTTAAATTGTTTAGCTGACGACCCTGGTTAAAATACCAGAAGCGATTCTTTTCTTAATTCTTCAGGCAAGGAGTGCATGTGTGATTCAGGCAGAAGAAGAAAAACACAGTTACCATCTCATTCAAAAATAAATAAATAATTCTGAAAAAGTAAGATTTCAATGGGCGAATCTCCAAATAAAATGGACAACTGCCCATTTGCCCCCTCGTTGGTTGCGCCGCTGTAATACACTTCTTATTTATATCAAGAATAGTTAGGAATCGGTGGTTTAAATGAATTGTCATTTATATCTCATTCTTTGCATAATAAAGTGATAATCATGACGTTATTCTTTGGTTCAAACATGTTGACTGCTCATAATATTACTTTCTATAAGCTGATCACGTTTTCAATGAAAACTCAAAAGAAGACATGTCCAAATTTATCACTGTGAAATCTCTACTGAAGTATGTCAACATAGTTCTAAGTACCACTGTTTTTTCGGTCCACTTTGTTTTCGTGGTTTCTGAAGAATCATCGACATTTATTTTTATTTTCTCTTGACCAACTAGTAGACACTAATTGCCTATGAGTTCCTGTTGGATTTAACTCTACAAACATTCTCTAGAAGCAGCATAATTCGAGCAAAATATAGAAGCCTGTCTATTATGTTCATCTAAAAATGTGAGCAAATCAAGCGCATCATCATCAATGTAGTCTTCAACCAAAACCCAAGTACGAAAGTTACAAATTTCTCTATCTCCAGTTTAAGTTTCATGACTATATTTTCCCACTTCTTAGTGGTCTATTTTTCACTGGAAACATATTCAAAACTAAGAAAACTTTCGAAAACCTCGTCGAATATTTTAATGTTCATTTTCATCTTTTCAGGTATCATAAGAAATTTTAAAATGTTCTTGTCAGATAAACAGAGATAATAAAGTCCTTGAGAACTGATTCTTGAAACATGCAAAGAAAGGT